TTATTCTGTTATGCTGTTATCCTTCCTTCCTTCCTTCCTTCCTTCCTTCCTTCCTTCCTTCCTTCCTTCCTTCCTTCTTCCCAGTCACAAAATTGTATCTGTCCTTTAAAAATTTGGAATTTTGTTCAAGGTAGGAGCCCAGGGGAATGAAGTCTGACTTTTTTTCAAATGTACAGCTGAATTTGACCTATGGACTTGCAGGATTGATGTCAGTTTTCCGGAGAGGAAATATGATCAGATGAGCTAATGCTACTCCATTCCTTTATTTAGAATATTTCCCTTAAATAACTCATTGTGTCTTTGTGGGTTTTTTTCTTTTTCTTTTAGGAGCTGGTGAATCCGGAAAAAGCACAATTGTGAAACAAATGAAGTAAGTGTGCTTAAGGGTGAGGATATTAACTTGGTGAAGTCAGGAAATGATGTCATGAAACTAAAAGGTTGATTGTGTTGTTCTTGATCAGAATTATCCACGAAGCGGGATATTCCGAAGAAGAATGTAAACAGTACAAAGCGGTTGTCTATAGTAATACCATCCAGTCCATTATTGCTATCATAAGAGCTATGGGGAGACTGAAAATAGACTTTGGAGATTCAGCCAGGGCTGTAAGTATTAACGTTCTACAACATTCCCTTTAAATAATGTCCTTAATTCTGAAATTAAGAATTCAGAAATTCGGGAACTTTGATATTCCTGCTAGTGTACATTCAGGAGGAGGAGGAAAGGAAAGAAGGAGGAGGAGGAAGAAGAAGAGGAGGAGGAGAAAAAGGAGGAGGAGGAAGGGGAAGGGAAGAGGAAAAATAAAGAAGAGGAAGAGGAAGAAGGAGGAAGCGGAGAAGGAGGGGGAGAGGGAGGAAGGAGGAGCGGGAGGAAGGGGAAGAGGAAAAAGTAGAAAGAAGGGGAAGGGGAAGGGGAAGGAAGAAGAGGATGAGGAGTGGGAGAGGAAGAAAAAGGGGAAGAAGAAGAAAGAAGAGGAAGGGGAAGGGGAAGGAAAAAGAGGAGGGGGAAGAAGGAGGAGGAAAATGAAGAGGAGGAGGAAGAAGAGGAGGAGGAGGAGGAGGAGGAGGAGGAGAAACTTTGCAGTTGGAATTTAGTTATAGAATTTTAATAACACAGTCTTAAGGCCTACAAGGACCTTGGGTAGCCAGCCCTTGCTTAGAGTTGCCAATGTTTTAATTGGTCTACTTATTATTTAATTGGCCTATTTATTATATTCTCTAAATTACGTTTTAGCCCTTGACTAAGAAATTCTAGTGAATTGTAAATTTGTAGCTGTCACTTCTTGAAGTTGATATGTGAGTAGTCCCCTCTTGGCTGTCTGCTCCTCAAATCTTAGTGTTGGTCACGCAGTCCTGGAAACACTTAGGATTCATGAAATCATCGTGTGAATGGATTTCTCTTCTCCTGAAAAAATCTCCAAGTCAAAAAATATATAATACTGCTTTCATACTGCAGTAGAAAAACCTGATCTGAAGCAATTCCTGCAAAATGAATACGGGTGTTTTTGAGTTCTTTTTTTTTGTCTTTTACGACAGGACGATGCACGCCTACTCTTTGTCCTTGCTGGGGCGGCAGAAGAAGGTTTTATGACGGGAGAACTCGCTGGGGTGATCAAAAGATTGTGGAAGGATTCCGGAGTCCATGCCTGTTTCAACCGATCGAGAGAATATCAGCTTAACGACTCGGCTGCGTAGTAAGTATCCCAAAAGAATTACGCCGTATGATGCAAAATGTTCTGATGCGAGAAATAAGAGCTCTGTTTTGTTTTGTTTTTTGCAAAACAAGAACAGCCAAAGCCACTTCAACCAAAGTAAATTTGCACAGATTTATATATCCCTGTAGATAAATGTTTTTAGAGATTCTCCGTCATCCAGGTTGTCCCAAAGGTGCATTTTTTTCAGGAGGCAACTGGACTTTCTTGGTTTTCTTTTCCTTTTGAAGACGGTTCACTTTTCATCCAAGAACCTTCCTTGCATCTAACTGGATGGAGGGGGAATGGAATGATTTATATTCCTTGCAGACAGCTGGTCGTTTGCATGCTTTTGGAGGGTTATTGAGGCCGCTTGGAGGTTGATCTGCATCCTCGGGGTCACTTGAGGGGTGCAAATGGGTGTGGAACCTTCTTGGAACTGCCGAAAGGACAATATTGTAGGGTTGGAGATAAGTGATGTCTCATCCCTCCCCCTCTGTTGAGAGAGGGCTGTTCAATTTGGACACAGATGGCCTCTTCGACCCCTCTTTCAAACCAGCGGTCTTCTCTGTCCAAAATCTGGACTTGATTGTCTGCAAAAGAGCAACTTGTGTCTTTCAAATGCAGATGGTCTGCTGAAACTACTCCTGATGGCCTTCTTCTCCTATGTTGTGCCACGTGTTTAGGACGTTAACCCCTTCATCAAGGCCTCCATCAATTTTCCCTTTTGCTAATACTGTATTTTTCGGAGTATAAGACGCACGTTTCTCCCCCCCTAAAAGCAGGCGAAAATTTGGGTGCATCTTATATACTGAATGTAGACCCACCATCCCCAACCCTTTGGCTGATGCCTCCCAGCAATTTACCTCCTTGCAGCAAATGGAGAAAATAGGGCTTGCGGAGGCTGCAATAGGCTAAAGCAATCCCTACAGCCTGAAACAGCTGATGATCGGGAGAAATTGAACGTGACCCGTCAAAACCGTGGTCCACTAAAGCGCGCTTGACAAAAGCGCGTACCTGACGTCATCAGCAGCGTGACGAAAAAAATTAAAAATAAATTACATTGAAATTAAAATAAAATTAAAGCAAGCCGATTCACATAAAGGTAAGGGTTAGGTTTGGGGTTAGGGTTAGGGTTAGGTTAAGGGTTAGGGTTAGGTTTAGGGTTACTTTAGCGTTAGGGTTAGGGTTAGCGTTAGGTTAAGGGTTAGTGTTAGGTTTAGCGTTAGGTTAAGGGTTAGGTTTGGGGGGGGTTAGGGTAAGGTTTTCGCTTTAATTTTAAATTTACCATTCACAGCGCGATGTTTTCGTCGCGCTGTGATGATGTCACGTACGCGCTTTTGTCGAGCGCGCTTTTGTCTACCGCGGTTTTGTGGTGGAACCAAATTGAAAGTGAAACTTGCTGTTTGCTGCACAAGGCAAATTGCTGGGAGGCAGATTTTTTTTTTCTTGTGCTAATCAGGCTGTTTGCTGTTGGCTGCAAGGAGGTAAGTCAATAACTATAAATGCTTATAGTATGTTCAAATTATGAGACTTATTTTTTTAAAGACTGCTTTATTATTGTTCTAGACAGCTTAGCAAAATGAAGAAGCTTTTTAAAAATAAATGCCAGTGCCATTGTATCTTCATTTAA